GTTTGCTCTCCCTCCTCTTAGAAGCTGGCTACGCCACTGGTCCTTCCGCCGAAGTGCCCTGAAGACCCGCGGCGGGGGGCCCTCCCCCCCCCCCCCAGCTCCTCCTCCGGGACGGTTACCATACGTCTGGAGGTACGTGGGTATGTCCGGCTTTTGGGGCTCCAAATCCCCGTCCGGGGGGAAATCCCAAAAAAGCCGGACATGTCCGGGAAAATCGGAGCGGGGCCGGGCCGGGCCGGCGGTGCGGTGCCGGGGGCTCGGGGGCCGGGCCGGACCAGGGGCTCGGGGTTGGGGCGTGGGCATGGGCGGGGCTGGGGCCGGGGCCCCGTGGAGTGTCCTCCTTTCGGAGGCACTAAATATGGTAACCCTATCCTCCGGCCACTCCAGGCCCCCCCCCCCCGGCTCCTCCTCCGGCTGCACCGCCCCTCCCCCCGGTTCCTCCAGCCCTGCCGTGCCACCACCCCCTGCTCCTACGGCCACGCCTGCCGCCTCTCTATGGCTGCCAGCCGCAGCTGCCAGCCGCCAGCCTGCACCCCTCCCTCACTCCTCTGGCTGCTTTTGGAAAGGCGGGGGAAGCAGCTGCTTCCCCTGCACCCCGCTAGCTATGCTACTGGGAAGGACCCACTGCTGCCTATGACCCGGAGCAGAAGAAGCTCTGGGGGCCCGGGTCCTGTGAGAGTTTTCCGGGGCCCCCGGACCGAGTGAAGGGCCCCGCTCCAGGGCCCCTGAAAAACTCTCGTGGGGGGCCCCTCTGGGCCCTGGGGCCTGGAGCAAATTGCCCCACTTCTCCCCTCCCCCCCCCCCCGTCTCGGGCGGCCCTGAGAACAAGTGTGTGATGTGGGTATGGTCTTGTAGCACAAAAACTTCTCTGTAAAAATGCATCCTCAGGATTTTTTTTTTTTTTGTAAGGCAGAATATCAAGCAACAAGCAAGTTGTTGAGGAGGCAAAGAGAGCAGTTCTTAGAAGACAAACTAGGGCAGAGCAAATGAAGCAGAGAGATGTAAAAGGAGATGGGGACAAAGTTGGGTAGAGTCTTCAAGGTGAGGGAATGAGTAGCTTGAACTTACGCAGAGTAAAGCGATTCTCTCTGTTGACTGCAATAGCTATGAGAAGACCACCATACTGCTCCACCATTCCTTGCCATAATATCTTCTGGGAAAGACTGGGGCAGTATCGCATAGAGCTATTTCTACACCATTCACAAGTGACTCCTGCTGGGAGAGCCTGGCACTGCAACAGTGTAAAGGCAGTGTTGCCTAGTGGACAAAGCACTGGACTGGGACTCAGGAGACCTAGGTTCTATTCTCAGCTCTGCCATTGGCCTGCTGGGTGATCTTGGGCAAGTCACTTTCCCATCTGTAAAATGGGGTTAATGATACTGACCTCCTTAATAAAGTGCTTTGAGAACTTCTGATGGAAAAACGCTATATAAGAACTAGGTATTATTATTCACAGACAGTGCTCCAGAGACTCCTGCTGGATTAAGTTGGAATTTGAACATATTTTTATTGACTGGTGAACACCTATTACTAGCATGAAAAATAGTAAAGTCTCTATCATTACTTGCAGGAGTATTATATATGTATGTTAATCTTGTATGCTCCTGAGCATTCAGAGCTGCAATTCCTGGCTGATCATTAACTATGGAAAACATATTTGCGGAGGGATAGATTTATATCTTCTAGGGCAGTGCATTTGTTTTTCACAGGAAACCAAATACCTCTGAATATCTTGCATTTGTTTTTTATAGGATTTCTTTATCTCAGGAATCCATATATGGGGTTGAAATAATAGTTCCACTAACTAGTCATTAGAATACCATAAAATCAGATCATCTATTCAAGGGCTCCCAGAGGAACTATATAAGAGCTAAGTGTTTTAAAAACCCATTAAGAAAAATATGAGATCCTGTTTCCATCCTCTTATATTTTCATAGATCTTGTAGTCTTATTCTAAAAGTTGCAGTTTCAACAACTGGAATAATTAAATATTGTGTTCCATATTCTTGGAGTGAGGTTAAGATGACTGAGATACTTAATTCTGCATGTTGTAATATTAAAAAGCTTGTTTTTCACATACCTCAATGCACTCAGCAGTGATTTGGGAACAAAAGTGTTAAAGCAGGGCTGCACACTGACAGACATGAGGACAGGAAGGGTTAAATTTGGACTTACCCACAGCTGCAGTAGTGCTAGGGGGAAGCATTTCTGCCTGAATACTGGTACTAAAATGAAAAAGAAGAAACAAGCAGATCAGGAAAGGGGAGACCAGCATGAAAAGAACTGTCAGGCCATGCATACTGTAAAGGGAAGCAGAGCAGAAGAAGTGGAAAGGGCACTGTTACTAAATGAAGCAGGTGGAGTGGGAGGCGAGGGCATGTTTCTTAAAAAATAAGATAAAATAAATCTATTTTGCAGACATTTTATTTAAAACTGTTAGGATGCTTCACAGCCTATAGCACAAGTAACATCAAGGAAATGTGACTTTACAAAACATTTTAAAAAGTATACAGTTTTTCTGAAAGGAAAGAAGCTTTTTTTTTTTTGTAAAAACTACCTTGATTGTTGAGTCTAGTGTGTAACTTTTCTATAAGCACATTTTATTAGGGCTTTCGTTGGTTGTTTCAAAATGTTACTAGTAAAATAATGCCTCACACTTTGTCAAAATTTGTAGTCTGTTTGAGTAAGGCATTAAAGATTTTGAAGGATGTACAGAGTCACTCGATGTGATCTCCTGTTCTCATGTTGTACAATATTATGAGGCACATAAATCTAAAACTAATAAAAATGATAGTTTTGCCATTCTGTAGCACCATCCATCAAAGAATCTCAAATCAGAAAATGGAAGTGGATCAGAACCAGCGGTAAGAGTACTAAACTTATTATATTATTAATAATAATAATGTGTATTATGGCTTCAGTCTCTGCCTCCTCCCTGCAGTTTCTTTCCTAAAGGTCGATATCATCATGGCTGGGGGAAGTGGAATGCCTACCTGGGTCCTAGTGACCCAAATGGGATGTCTTCTGCACAGTTCTGGGTCTGGAGGGCTAAAGAGGAAGGATGGGACCCGTTTAACCCGCTCTGCCCTCTGTTAGCAGAATCTCTTTGACAGCTTTCTATAGTTGATCTATAAGCCTAGTAACAGCTTTGTGTGGTGAGGATAATTCATCTCCATTTTACAGGTACCGAAAGGGTAAATGATGATGGAAGAGCAAAGAATAGAATCCAACTCTCCTGTTGTCTGTTTAACTGCAGGACCATGCACTCCCCCTTATAACATAAACATCCTCACCCCACAACTCCGCACCTTCACCCACACAATAACATTATTAAGGCTGAAGAGTCAAGCACTCAGATGTTAGGAAATGCCAAAATGAAAGTTGCCTGTGCAACTTTAATTCATTAACCTTGTACATATGCATTATGATGCAGTTTTTATTACGTGATCACATACTATTTTTTCTATATGACCCTGGCCTCATTCAGGACACAGCATGGATGGTGCTCACTAAAAGAGCAGCTGTTCAATATTTTGCTTTCTCCTCATTGTTCAATGGGTGGCTCCAGGCCTTATTTACTACACACTATTCAAACCCTGCTCTGAAGACAGAATTATTAATTTCTATGGGCTTTTCTATGGAGCTCATTATTTCTGGCATTTCTTAACTTGAGTGGTTGACTTTGCATCCTTAATGATCTTTTAACATAGATTTTTGTATGTGTAATTTCTTAGGTTTTTAAAAAAGCAAACTGAAAAAAACAAATTCCATCATGTGGTATCATGTTGACACCTACATGGATCATCAGCAGGATTGGAACCTTTAGATCACCAAACGGACACCTATGACATGAGGTAAGAGAGTAACTGATAACAGTAGTAGGTTGTCATCCTTATCCTCTATGGGGGGATGAGACACACAGCCAGATGGTTTCACAGCTATTTGCTGACAGCAGAGGAATGATAAGGCTCAGGAACCTTGGGTTCCATTCCAGGCTTTGGAGGGGAGTGTGTTCTAGTAGGCACAAACTTTTCTGCCCATTTCCCCCCTGCCTGTCCCTTGCAACTTTTCCCTGTCCTAGTCCAATCTCTTCCCCACCCCTAGCTCCTCAACCCAATCCCATTCTCCCCACATAGGCAGTGTGTCTCCTTTCCTCTGCCTTCTCATCCCAATCAGTCTCCTGGCCCAGCAAATCCTAGTCTCATGCCTTCCAACTCTCTGTCCCAATCTTCCCCCTTCCCCACTTCCTTGTCTCCAGTCTCCTTGCTCAGCCATTCCAAGTTCTCAGAAATAGCTGAGTTGTTTTGGCTGAAATTTTCCAAAGATGAGCCTAAAGCAGACAACTGGCATGGACGATTTTGGCCTGAACAGGTATATGGTGGCAAAGTTATAAGCAACTGAAAATGGTATTATTATAACGGGAAGCTTTGGACAGCCTTAAAAAGGGTGGTACTACCACCTCTGTCCATTATAGTCTTCTTTTTAAAAAGTAAATTAAACATGTTTTCTAGCAGATTGATCTGGGATAAAAGGATTTATCTATGCAACAAGCTCCTGTAGGGTCAGCCGGGCCCAGCATCTGGTTTCCTTCTAGTGTGTGCCATTCCACCCTCTAATGGGAGAAAGCACTTCCACCCTTTCCCAGGTAAAGGAGGGAAAGCCCCAGAACCTATATCTATACTTCTCAACCAGCCATGCTCTAGTGGAGGTATGACTGAGACCTGGAGCAAATTATTATGCACGAAACTTAAAATGTTGTAGGCTATAGTGCCTGAGTGTCAGTGACTCCTTCCATTACCATGGGTTAATGATCCTTTATTTCTAAAGTAAAATAATTCACCTGCAGACATATTGGGATGGGATTCAGGTTGTGTGGATCAGGGGCTGAGATGAGGGATTGGTAGAAGGTGTGACTTCTGGTTCCCTGCTAGGAAGAAAGTGGGAGACATCAGTGCACTTATGGTCTGGGCCCTGCTGACCTTTGGGTGGGTTTATATGGAGACACTCACGCACATGAATGTGAAATAACTGAATTTAAAGTTGCTTAGTTAAACCCCTGTGTGGGGACACTTATGCAGATTTAAAGTGACCTTAATTTGGTGTAGCTAATCCTCTTTAAAATCACATATTTTCTTAATGTGGATTATTTTTCCTGAGTGACCACTATCGACAAACCCTAATCTGTAGGGGAGGGGCCAAGATACTTCTTACTACCCCTCCCCCGCAGCAGGTATTGCCCCCCAACCTTGGGCAGCACAGCACCCCTCACTAGGGTTACCATACGTCCGGATTTTCCCGGACATGTCCGGCTTTTGGGGGCTCAAATCCCCGTCCGGGGGGAAATCCCCAAAAGCCGGGCATGTCCGGGAAAATCGGGAGGGCTCGGCCGGGCCGGTGCGGGGCTGCGGTCATGGTGCAGGGCTGGGAGCCGGGCCGGGCG